GGACTCGACAGCTTCCTTCCCCTGCGATCCCCCCTTCATGCAGGCTCAGCGACTTTAGTTTTCAAGTGCTTTCGCTTTGACAGCACAGTCTCCATTCTGGACTGCATGAACTTGGGCCTCATGCTGCTGTTGAGAGGCCTCGCGCACATTGGCCCGTCTGTACCTGCCTTTGGGCTGTCATGCCTGGGATCGCCTCTGCTTGCACCGGATCTTGTTCTTACGGGAAGCAGCCTGCCGCCCAAAAGCCTTGCATGCTTGGGCTCATTGCTGCTGGCTTATGGCATGACCAGATCAGGCTTGTCCTCCTCTGTGCCTGACCTTGTTCATATGGAGCCGCTCTCACTACCAAGGGCACTTGCACACTCGGAGTTTGCGCTTCTTGCTTATGGTGTTATGCAAACAGGGCCGTTGATGCCCGCCCTCGATCTCGTGACTCTTGGCCTGCCGCTGCCTTTGCAATCGTTCCTCTGTATGGGCTCCTCCACGCCGGTCTTTGGAGTCGTGCGTCTGGGCCTATCCTCGTCGGTGCCTGACTTCTTGCATTTGGGGCTGTCGCTGTCTCCGCGAGGTTCAACACGGCCAGGGTCGAGCTTATTGCCCTATGGACTTACACGCCTTGAGCTGCCACCTTCGGCACCCGACTCTGTGCACATGGGTTTGCCTTTGCCACCGAGGAGCTTTTCCCACCCAGACAGCTCCCCGCTCTTGTATGGCATGTTCTGTGCTGACTTTCTACTTCTGGTGCTGGATTATTGCACTTTTGGAAGCCTTCTGTCGCCTAGGGGTTTTGCGTGGTCGGGTTTCACGACTTTAGTATATGGCATGACTTGGATGGAAAGCTCTTTCTCTGCGCTGGACTCTGTCCATTCGGGTCCCTCCTTGTCACCGAGAGGCATCGTTCAGACAGGTAGTTCCCTGTTTGCATACGGAGTTTCCTGCTTGGACTCTCTCCTGTCCGTCCTGGACCTCGTGCACATGGGCTTCAGTCCCTCCATACACAGTTTCAGCTGTCCCGAGTCTTTGGTGCCAGTGTCTGGCGTGTCGTGGCTGGACTCGTCACCTTCAGCTCCAGATCCTGTGCACACGGGCTCCATGACATCACCTCGTGGCCACAGTTGTCTGGGGCCTGCCACGCCGGTATCTGGCATCACACGAACTGACGAGCCAATGTTGGCCCTGGACTTCTGTCACTCCGGCCTGCTGCCGTCCTTGCAGGGACACTTCCGCCTTGGATCACTGCCGCCTGTCTATGGCATGTCGTGCTTGGGGCTACTGACGCTGATCCCAGACTTTTTGCACTTGGGTTCCATTTTGTCTCTGCAGACATTCGGGTGATCGGAGAGTCCGATGTCAACGTCCGGAGTGGCTTGCCCAGGGTCCATGCCTCTAGTGCTGGATCTCATCCACTTGGGCAGCAGTGTCTCGCTTCGTAGCTTCTTGAGGCCCGAGCCCGTGCTGCTTGCATATGGCTTGTCCCGACTTGGGTTAGTTACGTTGGTTCTTGATCT